ATCGTTAAAAAAAAAAAAAAAAAAAAAAAGGTTTTTTTATATTTAAAAATCTGTCCGACACTGAAAATTCGTTGTATTGTAAAATTCGTTATATCAAAATTCGCTGTAGAAAGAGTTGACTGTAATTATAATAAATTTATAATCTTAAATATAAAACTTACTAAATTTAATAAACTTATTATATTTAGTAAATATCACCAATTTATTATACAATAAATTATTCTATATTTAAAAATATAATTAATCAATAAAAATAACTTATTATTTATTGTATTATAAATTATAAATTATTTTTTTTTAATAAAAAATTTAGTTAAATTTAAATTATAATAAAAGTATAATTAAATACTGGTAATAACTTACTAGCTTTAGTAATATTTTTGATTTTTAAATAAAAAATTTAGTTAAGTTTAATTATGGTAAAATTTTATAATTAATTACTAATAATTAATAAAAATAACTTACAATTTAAAAGATTAATTATTTTTTAAATAAAAAATTTATCTAAGTTTAAATTATAAGAAAAGTTTTTTTTTAAATATAAATTTTATTGAGTTTAAATTAAAGTAAAAAAGCATAAGTAAATACTGATAATTAATAAAAATAACTTAATATCTATTGTATTATTAATTATAAATTGTTAAATAAAAAATTTAGTTAAGTTTAAATTACAGTAAAAAGTATAATAAAATACTAATAATCAATAAAAATCTTTTACTATCTATTTTATTAATTGTTTTTTTTAAATAAAAAATTTAGTTGAATTTAAATTACAGTAAAAATATAAATAAATACCAATAATTAATAAGTATAACTTACTTTTTAAAATATTAAAATAAAATAATGTAAAGTTTAAAATTATTATAAAAAATAGAAAATATACAGTATATGCTTAATAAAAATAACTTACCAACTAAAAAACTTTTAAAATAAATTAGTTATGTTTAAATTATAATTTAAATATCAAAGATTACTTACTCTATATAATATTGATAATTAGATATTTGTTTAATTAAAAAGTTAAATTAAATTTTAATTGTATAAGTTTAATGGCTTACATTCTAAGTACCAATAACAATTTTTTTTTTTTTTTTAAGGTTAAAATATTGTTGTTTGAATTTAACCATGTAATTCTCTTAATGTAGGTGCATCAGGAGCATCCGAATCTGGCTCTTTCATATCTAAATAATTATTAAGATTATATCATAAGTTAGTATTTAAATAATTTATAAATGTTCTTTGCTATCTAATCCTTCTAATATTTTAAACAAAATTAAGCATAATTATAAAATGACAAAAATGATTCCATAAAATATTCCATTTAATTTATCAACAATCCTTTTTAAAATATAATTATATTTGTCCACGTAATAGATGGGTTAAATTAATACCTTCAAAAGGATAAAGATATGAAATATTAAGCCGTTCTATATTATAATCAAGTGAATCTATTATCATGTTTGTATCCGATGAATATTTATGATATATTCAGGATAGTATCGATTCAATAATAAGATCCGATTTGTGATGACGCCTTTTTGTCTACTAAATCTCGTTTAAAATAATCGAGACATTTCTTATAGATGTTATCAACGAATTCTATATCACGTTCCTTAATAGTATTTTAAAAAATTGTACCGATCAATTTCTTCATGTGAAACCCAAAATGTTTCATCAACAAAGTAACATCACTTAAACAAATATTGAGAAAATGATTTAAAGTCAAATCATATCTTGGCCTCATATACTTACTGTATATCTATCGTTTTTTTATCAACTTTTTCAACTTTATTATCGTTTTTGAAAACACGTAATCCAATAAATCCAGTCATTTCGTTATTAGTATAAATTTCCAATTTAATACCCTTAATTCATATTTAAAGGTTTCTTTTCGAAATAATTTTGATTTATTAATATTCTCATATGGAATGAATGGATCGTCGTACTTTTTGTAACATCATCGGCTTCGATTTTTGATAAATTATGATTTAAATCTAATTCTAAATCATCAAATTCAAAGATATTTGTAAATTTTTTGATAATTTTGACATAGTTGTATTGTCACTAATGCTCCGTTCATATATCATGTTTTGATATGCTTATCAAATCCACTCCTTGAGGTACCTCATACATCTCTTGACACTTCCACTTTTTGAATAAATCCTACGATTACGGTTGTACGATCTTTCCAAATATAGGGATAGAAAATGATTTTTCAATTATCATATATAAAATAAATTCCCCTCTTGATCAATTATAAATAACTCCTTTTCTTGATTATTCTTCATATCATGAATACAATATACATGATTTCAATTTACAAGTTTTTATTACACTTACTCAAGTATTCCTTAATTCCATTTTCTTCAATATGCGAAAGCACTAACTGCTTCTCATCAGAAAACACATGTGAAATATGTTTTTTTCATATTCTTCATCTTATTCATAAATTTTATTGACGCGAAAATTTTTAACGGATTTAATGGTACAATTAGGTCTAAGTTGAACTTCCTCATCATCAACATTCCACCTGACAATTGTTTTATCTTTTTCACTATTTCGTGATTCATCTCTGAAATAAAGATCCAATCTAATTTGGGAGAAGATAAAAAAAGTCCTTAAAATAAGAATGAGGCGGTGTCAATTACCCTTTATACTTAATTACCTAAATTTTTCTGTGTAACGAGTTAATAGCAATTTATAATGCTAGCCGGGAGTAACTATATCGATCGAAGACCGATCTAATGACTCCGCAATTTTCCACAGTCAAATATCATAAAAAATCCGGAAAAAAAATTTTTTTTCCCTTTAAATAAATAAATGTGTACCTACAAAAAGAAAAAAATATAATGGAACAAAAATTCTTTAGATTTATTTTATTTTAGATTTGGATGTTTTCCACAAACTTGTAATATTGCAATTTATACATGTCTAAAAATGAAATATAAAAATTTTTGAACATTGGAATACCAATATAATTAAACCTTTAAAATCTGGTTTAAGGCCCTCATTAATGTGAAAATTATTTAGTCACGAAAGAAAAAATCCCCTTTAAATAACAAATAAATCTAACTGATTTTGTTAAAGAAAAAAATTTTTTTTTTATCGGGCCTCGATGTATGATGATAACAATATCTCTTTTATTATTTTGATTTTTGATTTTTAAAGGATTATCTACTACTTCAATGGTAATAATCATTGTTCCTCTAGATGGTTTTTTTTATAAAAATGATGATAATTTTCACAAAAAAATACTTATATATATTTGGTCAAATTAAGTGTTGATCAATGCAAGGGGACCAAATATAAAATGGGAAATAAACCGTTCTGTACAAAAAAAAAGGTTTTCTTTTTTTTTTTTTTAAAAAAAAAAATGAAAATGAAACTCAATCAAGATTGCCTTACGGCAATATTTGAATCATGTGATATAAATTCTTTGTATTCCTATTTACTAGTTAATAGAAATTGGTGTAAAACCGCGATTCCAATCTTATGGAGAGATCCATGGGCAATCACAAAAACTCTCAACCATCAAAAAGCAAAGATATTCTTCAATACAATTCTCCAACTTTTGCCGGAAGAATCAAGTGATTTATTAAAAAATCAAGGTATTGATGTTCCTCAACGACGAAAACCTCTATTTGATTACATCAGCTTCTGTAAATACCTTAGGAAACTTGATAGGAAAGTTTTTCAAGATTATAATGATGGACAAGTTAAATTGTTGAGACAAGAGATATATAAACAATTTATTAGCTATTGTTCTAAGCTCATACTCTTAGACACAACTAACGTTGGATATCCATTACATGAATGTCCTAGAGCAGTAACCATCTTTTCTGATCTTTATGAATTACATTGTTCAAGTGATGATAATGCATCACTTTTCTTTGGATTGGCTCGGATTTGTAAATTTATAGAAAAGTTTTATATTAAACATACATCATCTAATCTTGGACTTGCCGAATTAATTAAAAATCAACTAAAAATCAAATATATAATGTTACATAGTGATATAAATTATCATAGCGAACTTGATAAATATGAAGCAATTGGTTCGGCAATATTGAAACATGCTCACAATCTTATTTATGTGAGCATACCTATTGAAAAGTATTTACCTTTTCTTAACGATCTTTTTTTGGGATTAAATAATATGCAGAAATTGGAATTATCTCACGGCAGTTATGATTCGGAATTTTATAAGCAATTAACTTTTCCATCTTATCCTAACTTACGAGTTATTGACCTTAATTTATCATATTCTGCCGCTTCCATTGCTGCTTTAAATATAATCCTAAAATCACATAATCTTCAAATAATTGTGCTCCGTTTTAATGCTTATAATTATTCTGAGCATATTCTACTGGCGATCTCTCAATGTTGTCCAAAACTTAAATACCTTCAAATTTATTTAGATGAGAAATTTCTCAGCAAATTTCAGCAAGTTTTAATCAACTGTCAATTTTTGGAAGGAATATTCATTGAAACAAACAGAAAATATCTTTCTCAACATGGTATTAGATTATTGGAAATTTTGACGACATCAGCTCCACTTGGTTTATATAAGATTAATATTGGTAAGTTTAGTTATTTTAAAATGAATTTTTTGAAAATTTTTTTTGAAAATTGGATTGGCCGAAAACCTTTGTTGTTATCTTCAATTGAGGTTGAAGATGAAAAATCAGATAATATTGAAATGTTGGATGATGTAATTAATCATTATAAAAATGTTGGTGTTATCAAAGAATTTGGAGATGATGCGGTTATTTTGAATGATAATTTTGTGATATTTCATTATTAGAAAATATTGTATGCTGGTTTTTCTTTTAGTTATTCAAATCACTTGGTAAAGGTTTTGATTCAGTGTTTGGCAATGCTTATTTATATAAGTTGGCTTAATTCATCAATTGATGTACAAATCAAATTCATGTTATTGATCAAATTCAATGAAAGTGTACATAACACTAAGAACAATGTAATATTAAACTTTTAAAAGCGAAATCCGATATCTATTTAATCTCTGGTGATATAAAACATGATATTTCTATTATGATGCAAGGGCATAATAATGAAATAATAGTTTTGACTTCGCATCATTATTCTCTTTTGCAAATCAATTATTCAATTATATATCTATCAACAAATAAGTTTTTCTTTATAGTTGATTATGATAATTCACATATATATAAAGGTATAGCAAAGAAAGTGATATATTAAATCGTTTTATCAATTTGTATTTTTGACAAGATATTTCTTGACTTTTAACTTCTATATAAAAAAAATATGATATAAATTTAAGAATTTAACTTTATATTTTTTCATAATTAAAAAAATTTATAAACAATTGTTATTTTAAATTTTATGGTTTATTAACAGCTTTGCATTCTTCTTATCATTAATTATTATATTCCATTTTAAGACTATATATTATATATAGTCTCAAAACTTTTTTTTATAGCAAACTTTCTATATAACTTAAGAAATATAAAAACTCTTCTTAACCTTTTAATTTAACTTTTAAAACTTAATCTAATTTTATTTTAATATAAAGTTTAAGAAATATTTATAATTTAATTAAAAATATATTAAAAATTAAAAATTTTAAATTGATAGATCATTAATATTTAGTAATTTGAAAATAAGCAATTATAATTATATAATTTAATTTATATTTATATAAATTTTATATAATTATATGTTTTTTCATTAGGTAAAAAACTTAAACTTAATATGAAAATGTGGGAAAAATGTATACAAAAAACATGATAAATTATAATTAATTTTATGAATTGTTAAAAAATAATAATCATAGAATTTTTTTTATTTTTTTCCAATTTTTTATAAAATATTAAAATATATTCAAAAGTATATGAATTAAGATTAATGCATTATTTTTATTTTCTTTAAAAAATTTATACTATTAAAATTTTATACAAAAATAAAATAAAGATAATTAAAAAATGTTTTTTTAAAATAAATAAATAAATAAATTATTTTAATTATTTCCAAAAAAAACAAGAAAAAAAATTAAATTAAAAAGATACAATAAATGATTTTGTAATAAAATATAATTATAGATCATAATATATTCATTAAAATTAATATTATGTGATATATACTTATCTAAAATTAGAAGCTTTACAGTAAAAAGATTCAAAACTCTAAAATAATTAAATTTACTTTATAAATTAAATATAATATTTTAGTAAAATGTTAAAATTTAACATTAATTCAAAAAAAAATTTTTTAGAGCTTTGTATCTTTCTACTACAAAGCTTACAAATATAGATCATGAAAAGATATCATGTTATAATTAGAGTATTAATAAATATTATATAACCATTAAGTAGTAACTATGTATAATATAGTTTTTATATAATAAATATTTAATACATCTGTAATTTTAGATTAATTTATAATATGTAAATAAAATAATTTAGAATTATTTATAGAAATATAATTTAAAGAACATAAATGTAATAATAATTATGCAATTAAATATAATATTATAATTCTTTAATAAATACATTTGTTTATTTTAATTAAATTAATTTCATTATTTTTTTGTAATGCTTTATATAATTTACTCAAGTGTAAAATTATAATTATTCATAATAATTTATTAAGTTATATTTAAAAAATTATTATATAATTCAATTTAAAGATAGTGATAAATTTATTATGCATGATATTATTAGTCAAAAATACTTTATCAATTATTTTTGAAGTTTATGACATAATAAACTCAAGCTTTTACCTGAAAATAAATATCACATGTTTCAGATAACAATATTTTTTAGATTTTATTTCTGTTTTTTAATTATTAATTAAGATAATTATTCTTTAATCAAAATAATAAATTTTTTATAATAACAAAATAAATATAAAATAACAAAAAAAAATATTGGTTTTAATTAAAATACTTAACAAGATAATTAGAACCTTTGCAATAAAAAAGGAAAAACTGTTGGAAAAAATCAATTTTACTTTTTATATATCAAATATGATTTTCAAATCAAATTTAACATTAATACATTTTTTATTTTTTTTCTCCTTTCTATTACAAAAGCCCCAATTTAATATTTTATAATTATAATATAAAATTAATAACTTGAAAATTTGAAAACATAAATTACTATAAAAAATATATATATTCTAAAAAAAAATATTTAAATATATTATTAAAAAAAATTATTGATATTTTATATTACAAATTATATTTAATGCTAAAGGATATAATAATTATAATAATTCTTTATAAAACAAGCAAATTTTTTATTTTTTATTTATTACTAAATATTTTAAATAATATTAATAAATCAAATAAATCAATTATATTAAAAATTTGATATTAATAATAAATTTATCTTTGATTTTTAATTTTTATCATTATAGATTTTAATTCTTCTAATATTAAATT